GTTCTCTATGTGAAGTGGAATTCTCATTTCCTTTATACGTACGTGACCTAGTAGTCGTTACTGGATTTTCAATGGCGTGTTCCCAATCTCGTGCAGTTCTCGTGGCACGTTTCGTTCCAACGGATTGATTTGTTTTCAATACGAGTTTTATTTTCTTCCAACCTTTTTTTCGTCTATTGGCACAAAGCCGAATTAATTGTCGTGCCGATCTTTTAAAGAGAAAAAACAAAAAAAGAACGCGTTCTCTCGAGTCGCCCGAACAGTTTTCTCTTTTCCTGGTCACGATCCTGCGAAAAAGTATCTTTTTATTTATTTCGGAATAAAATTTTTCGAAAAGAAATTTCGAGTCATTCGATAAAACTTTGACCGTGTAATCGATTCACGAAACGTAACGTTAACCATTTTGTTAATTCGTAGATTAAATTTAACGACGAGAAACGTTCTTTCGACATAAAATATAAAAAGAAAATCACAAATTATTTCCTTTCTCTCTCTTTCTCCCTTTTCAAAAACAAAAAAAAAAGGGAACACAATTTTTCGGTCGATTAAAACTTTCGAAGTCAGAAAGAAAGTCAGACGAAAGAGAACAAAAAAAATTGAAGTCAGGCAAGGTACTACTCCTTTGTTAACCTGGTCTTCTTCCACCTTCCCCCCAATCCACCCCACCCCACCCCAACCCGAAGACCCGAAGAAGAGAAATTCTATAGCAATTTTTGTTGTGTTCTCTTTTGTAGAATAAGTACAACGTAGCGGTCGTCTTGCTTTTTGCAACTTTTTTTTGTCCGAAAGAACGAACTGTCAAGCAGGCAGGCATGCATGCATGCAGGCTGCACCGGATCTTGGCGTTTAAACGACGAGAAAGTAAGAAGAAGAAGTCGAGAGGAAAGATGGACAAAAGAAGAATGGGAATGAAAAAGAAAGGTGTAGGAAGGAATGAGGAAAAGATGGACAGAAATACAGAAAGAAAAAGATAAAGAGAGAATAAAGTTCGAAGAAGAAGAAGAAGAAGAAGAGGAAGAGGAAGAAATAGTAGTGGTAGTAGTAGAGTACGATTGCATTTACAATTATGGTTGTAAAATAAGGGTACCGCGTTGCTTTACAATATTATCCTTGCCCCTAGTGCTTGCTAGTAGTAACTCAATGGAAAACTTGAAGTAATTACAATCGGTGGCAAGGGATTAAGCAAGCAACCCGGACGAGTCTTAAGACCAAATTTTGTAATGAGCAAGGAGAGAACGTTAGAGCTAGCTAGCTAGCTAGCTCGCGAGCAGGCAAGCAAGCAAGCAAACAAGGAAACAAGGAAACAGGACCAAGCATCGAAATAGGAAAACGCCAAAGTTCAATTAAACTTTTGCCTATAAGCGAAGTTTCCGTTAAGTCTTACGAAAATTATTGGCCTTCCAAGGGACTCCTCTGGTTGGTGTAGGTATGTGTCTAAAGAAGAAGAAGAAACAAAAAAAGAAAATAAATAAAAAAGAAATATAAATAAAAAATAAAGAGGAAAAAGGGCAAGTGGAAAATTTCCAACCCTTATCCTCGCGATAAGCTAACTCGTTCCGGGATAAAACGAAAGAGAGAGAGAGAGAGAGAGAGAGAGAGAGAAATTATATCTCGAAACGTCCGGGAAAATTAATTAGCGATCGGTAACGAGGGTACCGTGCTCTGAGATCGACTCAACGTTCAGAGTGGGTCGTTCCAATTTGCATCTAGATCGTGCGAGGACATCCCTGTTAATGCACAAAATTGTTCCGCGAGAGTCCACGATGTTGGTTTGAAATAGATTCCTAAAGGCGTTCCTCGAACTTAAGTAAAACCACTCGACCCTTTTTTTCCCTTTTTTTCTTATTTCCCTTACGGAATTGCGTTTATCGTCACAAACGGTTCCCGAATCCTTCGTTGGAATACGATCGTGATCCCCCTCCCCACTCCCTTCTGCACCCACCCCTACCAACGTTCTAGTTAACATTAACTTTTATCGAGTTTACGGGTATCCGCCTCGCCTTAACTGACATTTACCATAACGACCGTTTGAATTACGTGGTCAATTTCTTCCTTTAACGATAACGACTACCGTTGCCCTCCTATTTCCGAAACGCATCTTTCCCATTCCTATTCGTATTCGTATTCGCGCATTTCTTAACCTTATTTTCTCTATTAAGTCGTGGATTTGGGTATACCATTGGTAAATGAATTTTTTTCGAATATTCGAAATTATTATTGTTTCCTTTACCATTTCGATTGTAAATTAAGTTAAATCCATATAAAAACAAAATCATTTTATCTTAGATCAAATTAATTATATTTTAACGTGAAACCTTATTATTGTTTATTAATAACGCGTGATATAATAATTATATCCATCGACAAACGATCTCTTATATAATTATTAGATTGCAAAATTGAACTTACATTACACGTAGGATCGACAATTCTCATCGAATCGTGGTTATTTAATTAATTTGCAATTAACTGCAGATATCACTGACGTTGCCCCGATCATTTTAATTCCTGTTATTAATAATCGATCAACGAAACACTCGATAGCGCAATTCAATACAAGTAAATATATATATTCTTGGCTAATAATCGAACTGACACATATACATATGTACGTATGTAATTCGGTTATATCGACGACTATATATCACTAACTACATATAATATTTTTCAATAGGATTTGTCAAATATTTAAAGCATCTGATTAATATGAATATCAATATCGTTATTGTCCGAATCACGAACAATTTATTTAAATATGTAAGATATTTGCATATATTATTAACGAATATTCATCCATATTAAATGAGAAAAAAAAAAAAGAAAAGAGATTTTTATTATTGATTATAATTATTACGAATCAGTGTACGAATGATATAACCAAGTTATCGTAGAAATATCGTTTACTTTTTGCCTACGACGCAACACGTTGATAAAAAAAAAAAAAAACAAATAAAAACAAAAAAACGATGGGAAATATATGAAACCAATATTTCGCGGTGACCACGTCACTATTTGGTTTTTGACTTCCGACAAAATATATTTTCTCATCGATGGTCATGCATGTCACCCAGTAGATACGTGTAGCTCCATAAACAAATTCTCAGAGTAAACTAGGAATTACATTGTAAAATTAAAAAGGTGGGAGAATACAAAAAAAAAAAAATATATATATAACATATAAAATAACTCTCTGACCAGTCCTTCCTCATTCATGATTTCATTACTTATTTTATAAAAGAACGTGTAACATATATAAAAGTAAATATGACTTTAATTAATCGATATGTAAATAATAAATGAGTACACTACGTAAACAGGTATATGAAAACGTAGTCCGTGACGTTTTGATCGATGAGAGTCACACGTATACATGTATTTTACACGTACATTTCTATAGAATATATACTCGACCCAATAAATTCTCCAAATCGTAACATTTTCCGGTATATTTCCATCTCGAAATCGAAACTCTAGTTTACTTGGCACGAAATACAATTCGAGTAGCATAACCAGATGATACATTGGTCATGAAAAAGATTATAATGACAAAGACAAAGCCAAAGACAACGACGACGACGACAAAGTCAAAGACAGAGACAAAGACAAAGATAACTAACTAGTTCAGGGATGTGGAATCCTATTGGAGGAGCACTATTCACGTTTGTGCGTGACACAATCTCAGTAATTGGTACTAATTGCTAGACGCAATTATTCGGAATTAATTGAGATAAACCGCTTAATTATCACTCCTAAGCATTTCTCTCGAACTCTCCCTCTCTGTCTGTTTGTCTGTCTGTCTGCTTCTCTCCCCCTTAAACCTTACCTCTTTGCCACCACCCTATCCACCCTCTCTCTTATTGCATTTTGCTCGACACAACTCGCTTGGCCAGCTTCTCCGGTTCTCAATTTATCTAGCTCGTTTATTTTCCCTGACCCAGAAATACCGCGCCAACTAGAATCCATTTCCATAATACCGGAGTCAAAATCCCTACTTATTCGCATATATCGTTAATTATGACATCTTCATTTTCAATATTTGCTTATCGTTCATGAATCTAAATATATTTTACATGATTATCGTTTAATTAATGATACCCGATAGAGAGACCACACGGCTAAAATACAATATATATATAATTAAAATATATATTTAATTATATTTGGGAACCAATTTTTACTTTTTCGTTTCGTTATTATGAATGTAGTCGAATGAGAAATAAAAGAAAGAAAATGAGAAAAGTAAAAAAGTTTGTATGAAAAGTTGTTTCCCCCCGTCCCCAAAGTAATCATAATTTCTCTCAAATTATTTATTTCATTTCTTCTTTATTTTTATTCCCGACTTTTTGTTATCTATAGTTTTTCCCATTTTCATTCGTACGATTGAACCAGAAACCGATATAGAGTAATTAAAATTTATACACCCGCAAGAATGATAACAGCACGTTACGATAGTGAATGATTCAATGGCATCGAGTAAATTTATCGTTTTATCGTTGGTACGAACAACGATTCAAACTGAAACGAAGCAAAGTGACACTGACGTTCACTGTCTTTCCAAGAGATTTATATATTCCATCAGAAAAGGATTCAAAGTATCCATCATTGACTGTCGAAATTGAATTCATGGAAGATTACGAGATCAAACGTCCATTTCCCTTTAGAAATTCGTTCTATCTCTGTCTACCTTTCATAAGTGCAACGATATTTAATCATTCCCCGCGCATTCGGAGATTAAAAACAAAGCAACATTCTAAAACAAAATGGCGATTAGTAGTTTAGTTTCTCTCTACCTTACCATTTCAATGTTCAGTCTCTCTATAATCCTGTTAACCAGATAGGTAGAATGGTAATGTACATCTATATACACACACATACACGTACCTAAGAGCTTTTCATTAAGCTCCGCTACAAACACACAATACAATCCTATTATCTCTCTTTGAAATCTCTATTAATTATTTTCTAATGAAACATGCCATTTTCTTTTGTTGTTGTTACAGAGTAATAGGAGCCAACCAGCGATCGGACTAAAACAGACACCGAAAGCACGGGTAAGTAATAAGGATTATTCCTTTTTTTTATCTTCGTTAGCCCTTACTAACTATTATGTTTCTTATATCATCTTGGTCCACGCTGTTGTTAGATAGTTGTTACAACAAAAAGCAAACTCAAATAAGGGGTGGGTCTACTAAACAACATGGAAGAACGTCATTAACCATAATAGTTCGCACAAGATCATTAAGACTTTCGATCGAACGTGGACCCAAGCACTTTGGGTTCTTCAAAAGTTGTTGACATTTTTTTTTTTCTTCTTCTTCTTCTTATTCGCAAAGGCTATGGACGTAAACGACGACGTGGAAACCTTTCAACCCTCGTACCGACTCGCCCTACATCATCCATCCCCTTTTAGCCTGATTTTTGTCTTCTGCTCCGATAATATTGCCATTTGTATGCGACTACCCGAGCGTGTACTCGACGAAATAGACCTATATTTTTATGGTCCTCGAGTTTACGAGCGTACGATTGTGAAATTTTTCGAGCGCGTAATAGGTAGTAGTAGTAGTAGTAGTATTAGTAGTAGCACTCATTGCTCCTGCTGCAAATCTCGTCCCGTTACGTTAGGATTATAAAAACTATTTTTAGGAATACAAACAAACGTGCGCGTACCCTTTTCGCGATTCGGGATAACAAAAAAAGAAAACGTAACGAGCGCAACCTTGATTCGTTAACGACCTCGAAAACGTCGACGGTTTTTTTCTTCTTTTTTTTTTAAAAATTAGGATTATAAGACAGCTTAAACTATTGCCAGAGTCGTGTGTGTGTGTGTGCTTCTTTTTCGCGAGAAAATTTTCCTTTTTCTTTTTTTTTTTTCTTCGTTACTCGAAATAAATAATAATGCAACTTTGCCGTTTTTTTTTCCCTTTTTTTTTCTTTTCTGTTACCCTCTCGTTTTCACATATTATTCGGCGAAGCTTTATCGATTTACAGTGCAGACAATTAGCGCGTAATAAATAACCGGTAACCCTGTGTGTGTGTGTGTTGTTTCGTACGAGTTAATTAGGAAAATAAAAAGAAGAGAAAAAAGAAAAAAAACCAAAAACGCGAGATGACTTGATTCGCGATGGATTTTTTTTCGATCGTCATTCCATAGAAATCGATCATCGTAGTGATCGAGCGGATCATAAATTTACTGCATCATGACGTTACGCAAAATTTATCCGAGTGCATCACGGTCGACGAAGAGGTGGAAGGTGGGACGGGGGGGAAGGAAGGGGTAAGGCGTATTGTACAAAAAACGTGCTTGCTACGAACAAAGCTACTAAATGACATACTCGCGTGTTGCAATGTAACCCGCGTTGCCTGTTACGTGAAAGCTCAGACTCGAGTTTAATCCCCACTGGGCCTACTTTTTTTTTTCTTTTTTTTTTTTTTTTTCTTTACGAGACAGACAGAGAATAGGAGGAGAGAAACAAAAAGGGGAACTGTATGGAATGTATCCCTTGCCGTGGGAAAAATTACCAAAAGTGAGAGAAACGGGAAAAAGAATGGCAGGAAGAGGTGGAGAAGAATAAGAAGAGTGGAAAGACGGAGACAGAAAAAAAGAGGAATAAAAAAAAGAAAATTCCTTTCCCCTTACGTCTTCTAACCGGAGCAACAACCGTGCCCGATCATTACCGAACCTCAGCTATGTATATATTGTATAATTTTCAAAAAATCATCGGATAATCATGCATGCAACGTATGCACGTACGTATACACATAGGTACGTGAAAGTTTTCCATGGTGTACTTAGGTATCAAATTGAAATAATAGAACAAACTTTAGCCCTTACGCGTACGCAGAGATAATCTCGTGAAAATAGAAACGATGAAACTAAATGTTTGAACGTTAATGAGATTTCTAAGACGTTTCGACGTAAGGCAATACCATTGGAATTTGTATACACGTAGTAGAATATTCACAGTTACGTCATTCATTCCCTTTATCCTCTGACGAACTCTCTCTACGGTAGTTTCTCTCGGAGGCAAATGAAATTCGAAGGGCCGAAGGCCGGAAGTAGAACGAGAGAGCGAGCAATCGAGATGGCAGCTACTTCGGGAGCGACCTAAAATCGTGCGAAGCAATTTCGTGAGATTACTTCTCGCTGTGACACGTTGGAAAAGCTATCCTCTTCGTGGAAAAAGAGCTTTTTAAAAGGACGATGGTATCCGTATCTTCTTTTTCTTTTTCTTCTTCTTCTTCTTCTTCTGCTTTTTTACTATTTCTTTCCTGAACAGGACATGATTTTTTCTATCCCTCTCTCTCTCTCTCATTTTTTTCTGCATTTCTTTTTCCAACGAAAAATCTCAACACGTTTGATCTCTCTGATTTTGCTTTCCTCCCTTTTCCTCCTTCTCCCCTCACCCCCCCTCTTTTCTATTTTAACATGTCAAAAGCAAACGTAAACCTTTAGTAAGGATTAATATAAAAATTCGTAGCACAGAGAGAGAGAAAAGAAAAGTAGAGATGTAAAAAGAAAGAGAGATAGATAGATAGATAGAGAAAAGATAAAGTAATAGAGTAGAAAATGAAAGCATCCCTTGATATAATATTTTCCTAGATTAAATAAACTATCGATCGATAGATAATAATCAACCGATAAGAACTACAGAAGCTTAATTAACGATGCTGTTGAAGTATTATAAAAGTACGTTATTAAATATTGACTTTAGTTAGACGAGATGTTCCTTTATCGACAAAGATTGATCAAAAATATTATCTTAAAATTGAATAGATCGTTACGTTTATTAACTTAAATTTCCTTTTTTCGTCTTTTAATCGTACGAAAACACGCAATTACGGTAAAATGTTTTAAAGAGATAGAGAGAGAGAGAGAAAGAGAGAAAGACAAAGACGTTAAAGTTGGGCGTTAAAACGTTGTTTTAGCTCTAAAATCTCTGCGGCCCGTATATATGTCGTGTTTGTTTAAGTTTACAACACCAATTGCACGCCGTTGTACAACTGCATCGTCCAGGAATTGCAACACCAACGTTGCCTTAGACAGTGCAGTCTAATTTAACTAGTTATCCAGATAAGATCGTGCCCTTGAGGTTGAAACATTCGATTTCATGAGAATTAAACGTGCTTTCGTGAAAGCTTCGGCACAAATGAACAACAGAGAGAGAGAGAGAGAGAGAGAGAGAGAGAAATGGAGATGGAACAATGCGTTGAAACATTTCAATGCTTCCGAGATTTACTTCAATCTCCATTAATTCAATTTGAAAACAGCTCGTTAAATCGATCATTTCCATTAATTATTATATATACATATATATTCATTGGAAAAATGACGATTAAAATACTTAATACCGTTATTAATATTCATTATATTCGTAAATCAAAACTCGATTCGGTCGGCGTGGTCTTGTTTGCCTATTCTCACCATAACCATAATAATTCATCGAGAGAGAAAAAGGAGGGCGATCAATCCTGAACCGCGAAAGTTCGAAAAGCCGCGATTCAAAGTTAGCGTTCGCGGCCGATCTCGGAGTTCCGCGCCATTAAATCTCATGGTGGTGCCCAAACGCTTATTCGTTACGTCGCCAACGAACAGACAGAGCTACCGAATCGGCAAACTGAACGAACGGATAGTAACAAGTTCGTGAACAGGGGCTTTACCGTGATAGAGAAACTTTTCTAATCAAAACGATACATCATATTCAAGATTAATAATCTTCAGGGTGACAATTCTAAATCGGATTATTTGTCTCTTGGACACAAACTTTGTTCCTCTTTTTTTTCTTTTTTTTTTATTTTGCTCAGAAATATTTAAGAAAATTTCGGACGAGAATTACGCGATACCTTCTTCTCCGAAAACGTGAAATTTTCGCTACGTTACCGCAATGCTTATTGAAAGAAAAAAAAGAAAAAGATAAAGAGGAAAGATAAAAAGTCGTCGTAAGTTGTTGGGAACCGTGAGAATGGTAGCTCGAAAAGTTTTACGAGAAACACGAAAGTTTCTTCTACGCGCCGCGAACTTTTGACTTTATCTTTCTTCCTGTTATCTTTTCGTATTATAAAAGTATAAAACATTGGTAATATTTGCGAAGAAAAGAAACGGCATATTTTCTCTTTCTATTCTTAATTAAATGAAATTGAATATTAAAGCTATCTATGTATATATTATATATATATATATAAAAAAACGCGTATATTTAAATATATAATTTAAAAATGAATCGCGTTTGAACACTAAGATTAACGTATTTTGGTATACAACGAGACAACGATTTAAGATCTACTATGGTTGAACGTATGTATCATCACGAACGTTCTATAACCGTGAGAAACGACTTAAGAAAATAAAATGATAAATTAAACGTAACCCAGGTGCTAGGATAGAATCTTCTTCCATTTTCTCACCTTTTAAAACGTTAATGTATTACGGGGGAAATGAGAAGTGCTGTGTCTCGCTCAATGTAAAACGCACTCAATGTAATTTCTATGTGTATGCATAGAAGAACATAGAAAAGACACATTTATACATATACACACACATACACAAATACATTTATATATTCGTATTCGTCACGACTCGGTGTTCGTCCAAGCACATTTCTAACTAAATTTATCCTTAATCCATTTAACACGAAAAGTACATTTCCACGGTATAGTTTTATCCAAGACTCTTGTTTCGTTTAAGATTTTCTAATTTCAAATATTATCTTGTTTAATATATAAAATAACAATAATAATATATTAAAAGAGAAAAAAACGCAAGAAGAAATAGAAGATAAGGAAAGGAATAAAGAGAGTAAATTTTGAAAGTTCAAAGAATGTAAGGAAGAAAGAGAAGGGCACGTGGTTTCACGTAACAAGTTGCGCGAATTTCAACACGGTTAGAAACGTGTTTCCCTTCCAGTTTGTATGGTTCAAGCTAATGGTGGTTCACCGTCGTAAAGTGAAGTCTCCATGGTTGCATTGTTCCGTTTTTTTCCCTTTTTTCCACCTGCATACTATTACCTTTTTCATTCGATCGCCGTATTAAAACGCTCCAAATCCTCCGACCGAG